CTCAGCTACTAAGCTCACAACGTGAATAATGTGACAATGACATTCCCAAAGAAGGGTGGGAGTCAGAGGAAGAGTGCAGCCATCACTCAGAAGTGATTAATTATAAATGCTTTTAAATCCACATCATGCATTAGCCCTGGAAGGCCAGCCATCCTCAGGGAGCCTGCTTTCCCTCTTCTAGTCATCAGGTGGGTTCCACCAAGAGATCTGACATCGGAGTCCCTTTTTCTACAGCCCTCTGTGTGCCCAGTTCCTTGCACCACTTTGAATTGAGAGAATTAAGTTACCTGCTCTGTCTCTAGAAAAGGCTTAAAAGTGTAGTTCACTCCACCTAGGGCAGGACAGACAGGAACTGGAACGAGAAAAAGGGCCTTTCTGTGCCCAGAAACAAAGCTGCTCTGGTACCTGGGAGCCCTGGGAGTCCGGGAATGAGTCACCACAAAGAATCCAACTCACTTTTAGGGAGCATTGTACAATGTTGCAGATCTGGTTCAAAGGAGGCAGGATTTTTTTTCCTTTAATCAAACCTTAAATCTAGCGTCTGTCAGATAAAAGTGGCTCATTAAATCAATGACATTCAAACCATCACGCTTTCATAGATCTACAGTTAGGAGAAAACCAGAAACTTCCTCATGTACAATCCTTACCTCCCAAGTAAAGCTGAGGGTGGTCTTCAGATCCCAGATTTATCCCATAATGCAAGCGAATACCCATTGTTCAGTGGCACTTGCTACAAGAGCAAATGAAGTAAAACGGGACCCAGATCTGGGAAACAGACCTCAGTTTGACTCCTGGCTGTGCAGGTCCTGGCAGATTTAATCCCTTTGGATCTCAGTCTTTCCCTCAGAGATGGGTGGTAATTCCAACGGTATACATTGATGTGAAATTACAATGCACTTTTTATTTTGTTTTTTTTTTTTTAATGGCTGAGTCTTGAAAACTTCAGAATAAAAATAAAATGTTCATTTAAAAAAATTTTTAAATAAATTTAACCTCCTGACTAGAAACATGCAAGGCCAAACAGGTCCATGGGTGCAGTGGTGGAATAAACACACTTAGCTGCACCTACTTCTGCGCTGTGTTCTATTTTTAGACAGTATGAATAAGCTAATTAACAAAATTCCACTCACTGACTTATCTGAAAGCTTGTCGATTTTCAAAAACTCAACAGATGGACATAAACAGTCATTTCACAATGCATCTGACAAAAACAAAATGTGCTCTCTGCATCCTCAACATTTAAATTTTATAACATCCCACATTGCCAGTCCATTGTTAACTTGCAAGATGTCTCTTCATCCCTGTGAAACATTATTTCTTCCATCATGGCACAGGTATTAATAATACTCTGAAGTCCCACATATCTGTGCATGTCCCAACCTTCATTTCCATCAGGCAATGTAATCCTGGGCAGTTAGATCCCTTGAGTCTTAGCTGCCTCATCTGCCAAAGCAGGGCAATAGCTGTGTGACTAACCCATGACTGCCGGACCAACACTACTGATTTATGCTACAGCAAGACTGAACAGTAGAGCCTGGAGAAACATCAATAAAAGCAAATCCCCTCCCCTAGAACTACTCAATTCAGACCAAGCTGGGTGCTGGAGAAGTTAAAAAAAAAAAAACAGGACAACCAAGGCCTCGAAGTTGTCACAAAATCACAAAAGCCCTAGACACACAATGTGCAGGCAGCTCCAAAAGACAGGATAGTTTGGAGAAGGAAGGACAGCAAAGGAAGTGAGGCCCAAACACCAACAAGGGTGGCTGGCAAAACCTTGACAGAAGAAATTTGTGTAAGGGGCTGGGAAGGTGGCTCAGTGGTAAAGCGCTTGCCTTGCATGCATGAAGCCCTGGGTTCGATTCTTAGTACCACATAAGCAGAAAAAGCTGGAAGTGGCACTGTGGTTCAGGTGGTAGAGCACTAGCTTTGAGCTGAAGAGCTGAGGGACAGCACCCAGGCCCAGAGTTCAGGCCCCATGACAGTCAAAAAAAAAAAAAAAAGAAAGAAAGAAATTTGTTTAAGCAAAAAACACATGAGTTCAGAGTTGACAAGAATTGGAGCAATGGTACTACCTGTAATCCCACTATTCAGAAGCTAAACAAGGAGGATCCCAAGTTCCAAGCCAACTAGATAAGACTATACAGCAAAACCTGATCCTATTTTTTAAAAAATCCTGTCAATAAGCAGAGTTCCTCACATCATTTCCAACCTAAATCCCCTCAAAATCCAAGCTCCATGACTTCCCAAAGCTCAGGGTCACCAGCTCCTCATGCCATAAAACAGTCACTCACACTTCATCAACATAAGGCTCTAGAGGACACAGAATACTGGCCAGAACACTTAAAAAGTCCCAGAAGCATGGCAATGACAATTCCATGCATTTTCCTGGAACCCATTCTCTTAGCACTTTAGTCCACGAAGAACTGAAAACAGCTGGGTTCAGTGGCTCAAGCTTGTAATCCTAGCTACTCAGAGGCTGAGATCTGAGGACCATATTCAAACAAAGCCAGGCCAGGCAGGAAAGTCCATGAGATTCTTTTTTGCCAGTCTTGGAGTTTGAACTCAGGGCTTAGGCACTGTCCCTGAGCTTCTTTTGGTCAAGGTAGCACTCTACCACTTGAGCCACAGTGCCACTTCCAGCTTTTTCTGTTTATGTGGTACTAAGGAATTGAACCCAGGGCTTCATGCATGCTAGGCAAGCACTGTACCACTAAGCCACATTCCCAGCCCATCCATGAGATTCTTATCACCAATGAATTACAGAAAGAAGCTACAGTGGAGCTTGTAGGGTGCTACCTTTAAGCTAGCACTCAAAAAAAAGCTCAGGGACAAGCACCCAGGCCCAGAGTTCAAGCCCTACGACCCACACCAAAGAAAAAAGTTGCCACTCCAAATGAAATTAAAAAAAAAAAAAACAATAATCCCACCCCATCTTAAAAATTTTTTAAATAAACATTTAGCTCAGGAAAGCAACAATTAAATCAGAGTTCCAAAAACTTTTCGACTACTTTGCAGGACTCTTATCAAAATCTCTGTTCTTGGGAAATCCATGCCCCATTATGAAAGAAGGTTACATAAGCGGCAACAGTATTTCCACAGAGGGTTTCTACAAAGGAGGGGTCATTTTTCAAGACCATATATCCCATGCCAGGTATTATCCCTTGAAAGTTTCACATTTCTTCACACATCAAATGCTTGGCCCACACAGACCTTGCAAGGAAACAGTGCTCCACAGAGCTGCTCCCCATCCCTGGAAACCAGGACCATCCAAACTTCCTCCTGGTCCAAGAGCTTGTGGGCTGCAAGGCAGTCCTGAACATGACTTCCGGTGATTTACATGCTACCAAACTCTTCAATAACTAATATACTTACAAATGAGCAGCCCAGTGAGGCTGGTAAACTAGACCAATTTTAAAACTAGAAAAACAAAGTTTTAACCATGTGAAAGTAAAAGCAGATAAATAAATGATGAGATTTAGGTGTGTTTCCCCAGCATAATCATCCCTCCCAACATAAGCACCTGAGTAAGTATTATTCAGAAGCAAATTGCAGGCCTTTTCCATGTTCAATTAAATACAGGTGAAAACTTAATTACCATGCAGACTCTCAATCCCGCTGCGTGGGACTCCTTGTATGATTTTGTCACCACCTATCACCCCATAGCTAGGGCTACAAGATGCACATTTCCCTGCTAAATCTTCATTACATATTACGTAATGAGAAAGAGTGCAGATCATTAAAATTCACCTTTTCAATCATTTCAACCCCTATACCAATCCCTTTTTTTCACAGGGTATTTTCTACAAGTGGAAGACTTCATACTTCTCATCTTTTCCTACTCATTTTCTTGTGTGAATGTTAAAAATAAAAGGCAAGGGAATGTAGGGAATCCTGACCATCATCTCCTTTTAGAAGAATTTTTAGGTGTCACAGAGTGCCAGTGCTCCACCTCTGACACTTGACACAGGATCGCTGGGTGACCTTGGGTAAATCACTGCTTCTCTGGGCCTCAGTTTCCCCCATCAGAAGAACCCCAACAATGGCTAAATGCCTCTCCCATTTAAGGCACAGATTTCAAATGCATCCCTGAGACATCACTATAGTGAAGGGAACCCCCAAAAGGACTGAGCCTCTGGACTGAGGAATGGGCTTTCATAGGACCCGCTGGGGGGAGAGGGAGGAGGTTCTAGGGAGTTCAGGCGGCACCTCTGCACAAACCACTGGGCCAACTTCAGGTCTCGAACAAAAACCTGTTGGCCCGGACTCCTCTAACAAGGGGCCTGCCTCTCCCAGCGCTCTCAACTCCCGCTCCGACCGGAAGAGAGGAAGGGTCTCCTGGAAGAGGCTGGACCCGTGCGCCCATTCACTCACCCCGATTAACCGAGCAGGACCGCCGGGCCGGGCCGGGTCTCTGCCATCCCACGCGGAACAAAAGGCAGCTGGAGCCCGGCTCTGCCGCCCCCGTCCCCTCTGCGCTCTGGGGGTGGGAGCCGGGGAGGGGGAGAACCTCGTCCCTGGGGCGGGAAGAGGGGCACTCCCCGCGCCAGCCCAAAGGAGAGAAGGGGACACCCTCCCCCAATTCCTGGAGGGAAGCCGGGCTGTGCTCTGCACAGGGGCGGCGGGAGACCCGGCTGGGGAGCGAGGGGCGCCGGGCCTGGAGGGGCGGAATCCGCTCTGGGGAGGGGGGCGGGGTTGTTCCGAACATCAGGGGGGCTCCGGGCTCTGAGCTCAGGAGCACGGGGAGCCCCCTAATAGGGAAATAGGGGGAAATCCCTGCGGCGGACAGAGAGATGCCGGTGGGGAGGGAGCCACGCTCCAGCCTGTGGGGCGGGTCCGGGTGCGGGGGGAGGAGGGGAGTCCAGATCGGAGTGGGGGTCCAGCGGAGGCAACCGGGGTGCATGCTCTGGGGGCTTGCTGGGGTGGAGCGAACCTGGGATCTGGGAACGCCCGTGCCCTGGGGCCCCTGGGCCGGCCCCCGAGCCCCGCAGGTCCAGGCTTACCTCAGCTCTTCCCAGCCCGCGCGAATGCGCGGTTGCAGCCGCCGGTAGCGCTGGAGAGGCGGGAGAGACCCGAGCCCGTGCGGCGTTTGACACCCACACACCAGCCAACATGGCGGCCGGGAGGGGGCGCGCCGGCGGCGTGCGCGCGCGCGCCGGCCCCGCCCCTCCGAGGCCCCGCCCTCCCCACACCGCCCTCCAGGGGCGGCCCCGCCCCCGCCCCGCCCCCTAGCCTACACGCCCCGCCCACACCTGCCCCCTGGGCTTCCTCTGTAGTGCCCCACCCACCCCCAATCTACACCTATAGACAATTTGCCTGAAGGAATAGTGGCTCCTCTTGGGAGGCGATTGGAAGAAGGCCAGGGACCTCCTGCGGTGCTGGTCATGGTTGATTTATTTAGTTCAAGTGTGTTCACTTTATTAAAATTCACCGATGTGCACCTTTGATCGGTGTGCTTTTCTGTATTAAACGTTGTATTTCAATAAAATATACTCCAGCCGGGCGTTGGTGGCTCATGCCTGTAATCAATCCTAGCTACTTAGGAGGCTGAGATCTGAGGATCACAGTTCAAAGCCAGCCCAGGAAGGAAAGTCTGTAAGACTCTTTCCAATAAACCACCAGAAAACTGGAAGTGGCGCTGTGGCTCAAGTGGTAGAGCACTAGCCTTGAGCTGAAGAGCTGAGGGACAGCGCCCAGGCCCAGAGTTCAAGCCCCACAACTGACAAATATATATATATATATATATACATATATATATATATATATTCCAAAACTTACTTAGGTTCGAGTCATTAAAAAGGTCTCACACACCCACAAACAGCAACACCAAACAACCACCTCTTCCCTTGGTTTCATGAGCACCTAAGAGGCACCTCCTATATGCCAAGTCATGGGCTGGGCACAAAGAAATCACAGGGTATTCATAGAATGACAGTACAGAGCCTGGCACAGGTGATGCAGAGCCCTGGCCATCCCTTGGGAAAGTTGTCAGAAGGATCAAAACTGAAGACTGACGCAGAGAGCCAGTGGCTCACGTCTATAATCCTAGCTATTCAGGAGGCTGAGATCTGAGGATAGTGGTTTGAAGCTAGCTCAGGCAGGAAAGTACGTGACACTCTTTATCTCCAATTAACCATCAAAAAAAAAAAAAAAAAGGCCAGAAGAGGAGCTGTGGCTCAAGCCTTCAACAAAATGAAACTCAGGGACAATGCCCAGGTACTGAGTTCAATCCCTAGGACCAGCACCAAAACAAAAAGAACTGGAGACCACTGGCCCTGATCAAAATATATCAACAAACTCCTCACAGCAAAGTTCTAGGCCATGAGTCAGAGTTTGAGAAGCAGGGAAAGGACACCATCCTGTGGCCTGGGTGACATCAACACCACTGTCATTGCTTTCTGAGGGACCTTAGGTAGGTCACTGCATTTTGCTGGTCAAAGATTTGCTTTCCCTAACTAATAGCCAGATGATAGTTCAGGGTCAATGTCTTGTGCCTATAATCATAGCTACTCAGGAGGACTGCAATTCCATCAATCCATCTGGAAAGTCCATGAGACTCTTAGATCCAATGAACCACAAAAACAAAAAAATAAAAAACACAGAGGTGGAACTGTGGCTCAAATAGTAGTAAGGTGCCAGGTTTGAGGGGAAAAGCTAAGGGATAGCACCCAGGTCCTGAGTTCAAGCCCCATGTCTGCACACACACACACACACACACACACACACACACACACACACACACAGAGTCAAATGAATGAAAGTAACTCTTATGGGTCTCACAAACTGACTATAGAGTTCTCTGGCAAAAATATAATAAAGGGCTAGGTGCTGGTGGCTCACACCTATATTCCTAGCTACTCAGGAGGCTGAGACCTAAGGATTGAGGTTTGAAACCAGCCCAGGTAGAAAACTCCATCAGACTCTTATCTCTAATAAACTACTCAGAAAAAGCCAAAAGTAGTGCTGTGGCTCAAGTGACAGAGTGCTAGGCTTGACCAAAAGCAGCTCAGGGAAAGCACCCAGGCCCTGAGTTCAAGCCCCACCACCAGCAAAAATAAAAATAAAAATAAATGGAGTTGTGAGGAGTTGGGAAGGTGGCTCAGTAGTAGAGTGCTTGCCTCACATGCATAAGACCCTGGGTTCGATTCCTCAGCACCACATAAGCAGAAAACGCTGGAAGTGGCGCTGTGGCTCAAGTGGTAGAGTACTAGCCTTGAACTGAAGAGCTGAGGGACAGCACCCAGGCCCAGAGTTCAGGCCCACAACCGACAAAAAAAAAAAAAAAAATGGAGTTGTGAGGTAGAAGAGCTACTAACATTTCTGCAATCCCAAGAGCCATTGTTCCTCTGAAAAGTCCTCCACTAGGAAGACCTAGATGCTAAAAGCCATTCCACGTAATTAGCCCCTTTTACTGCTCAGACCCCCTCTCCACTAGGAGAGTGAATTGCACTTTGTGTGTACTGCATAGGGAACTGTAGCTTAGCTTTGAACTTGGTTTATTAGGGAAGGGAAGGGAATTGTGTGTGATCCCTTCCCTCCCCATGCATCATAAGATCACAGGCCAAACTCCTATGGGCTAACAAGAGAAAAAGCACAACACATATTCACTCAAACTTTTTCCTGACTCAGGAGCCTTCAGAAAACAGGAGCCCAGGGAAACCGTTTGTTTTTGTTCTTAAGCTTGATGAAGGATGAACAGACATGTAGAAACGTGATTGGACAATAAGGGATGACCTAATGTAATAGGCTGAGGGGGAGGGGAACGCAGAAAGGCTTGTTTGTGCAGATTCTTCATGGCCTCTCTTTGTGGTATTTCTTTTCTAGATATAGAGCAGGATGAGTTTTATATCCTAGTATGAGGGTCTCATATCTTAACAGAGAAGGTTGGTCAAAGAATTTCCACGGCCAGCTTTCACACAGAAAGATAAACATAAGTAGAGTAATATGTCTAGCATTTACGGCTGGCTTTGGTGGAGAGAGATTCTAGTTTCTTCCTTTCTTTTTTTCCTCAGGTCCTGAGGCTTGAATTTAGGGCCTAGTCACTGTGTTTGAGATTTTTTTGTTCAAGGCTAACAGCGTTCTACCACTTGAGCCAAAGCTCCATTTATGGTTTTTTGGGTGGTTTATTGGAAGTAGAGAATCTCATAGATTTTCCTGCCTAGGCTGACTTTGAGCTGTGATCCTTAGATCTCAGCCTCCTGAGTAGCTAGGATTATAGGTGTGAGCCACCAGTGCCCCCCATGAGTTTCTACTTGCTCTGGTTTGACTCTAGGGGCAAAGGAGAAGGAAGGGTGGGAGAATAGAGAAAGAGGGCTTCTGTGGCCCTTCCAATGTTCTCAGAACAATGTTGCCAGTATCCGGCGTGCCAAAGCCACACTTTGGCATTGTGGCTTGCTGTGCTCCAGCCGCCCCATCATGGAGAACACATGTTCAATCAGCCAAGCATTCTTCGTACACCCCAGGTCTTTGCTGTGACTTCAGGGACAGCAAAACTCTACTCTGAACTTATGACCCCGCCCCAGTTTACAACTTCAAATGAGTTTTAATACATAGCCATGTGAGGTCCCAGATCCTTGGCTTCATGGATTGTCCAAACCAAACCTATCCAGTAACAATTGTACTTTATTTAATTTTTTTTTCACAGTGCTGGGGTCTGAACCCAGGACCTTGCACGTTCCAATCAAATATATCCCCAGCTCTACAATTTCCTTTGATGATGAAAAATTTCTGTCTGTAGCATCCAATACAGTGGCCACTAGCCACATGTAGGTCACACCAGAAATGTGTCAACTGTGACTAAAGAGCTGAACTTGTACAACTTTATTTAACTTTTATCCACTTAAATTTAAATGGCCTCTTGTGGTTCAGTGCTGCCAGGCAGAACAGTGCTTCCAGAAACCTCACCAGGATTCCATAGATGTTCTTATTGTTCAAGTCGAGAAATTAAGGTTTGGAGAGCTGCCCCACCCAGCCTGAGTGTAACCACAGAGATAAACTTCAAGTTTTGGAAAGGGAGCAGGACCCAGATAAAGAGGTGATAAGCACTCACACAGAGCTGGAAGTGAGTTGGAGAACCTAAGATGGGCCTGGGAGGTGGGGGGAAGGGCCTCCAGAAGACCCCACAACCTTGTGCAAGGTCAGAGGGCAGATGCCTGCATCCACTCAAGCCATTCCTCCTTCCCAAAGCCGCTCTGAAGAATGATTACCCTCCCTCCTGTTCCCTCTCTCAGTACACCCTCCTGGCAATATTCCCACTGAACAGATGAAGAAACTGAGGCAGCACAGGAATACATGAGATTAAATCCAGGTTCTGGGACTGGGAAGTTGGCTCAGTTGGTAGAGTGCTTGCCTTGCATGCCTGAGGCCCTGGGTTCAATTCCTCAGCACCACATAAGCAAAAAGAAAAAAGCCAGAAGTGGCACTGTGGCTCAAGTGGTAGAGCGCTAGCCTTGAGCTGAAGAGCTGAGGGACAGCGTTCAGGCCCCATGACCGGACCCAAAAAATAAAATAAAATAAAATAAATCCAGGTTCTGCTAAGTCCAGAACACATGAGCACACTGCAGCTTTGCGTACACCCAAAGCATGCAAGAGGACCATGAAGCTAGAATTGACAGTGATCTCTATTATTCCATGGGCTTAGATATGGGTCCCATACAGATAACAAGGCAGAAGGACTAAAGCTGATGGGTAGTATATAGCTCAGAAGATCAAATGGATGGTGATTCAAGCTAAGGATTTTTGTGGGATTAGGAGTGGAAGGGTTCAACCAGGAAGGGGCTTTGAGGGGAAGATTTATCAGACAGCAGGTAGAAAGGCTGCAAACCCAGGGTAGAAAATAAGAAGAGCCCAAACTGGGCTCTGTAGCTCATGCCTGTAATCCTAGCTACTTAAGAAGCAAAGATCAATAGGATGGAGTCTTGAGGCCAGCAGCAGAAAAGGGAACATTAGTTCTTGAGACTTCATCTCAAACAATAAAAATCTGGACATAGTAGTGCATGTTTATCATCTCAGCTATGAAGGAAACTAAAATGGAAGGAGTGGGCTGGGAAGGTGGCTCAGTGGTAGAGCTCTTGCCTTGCATGTCTGAGGCCCTGGGTTCGATTCCTCAGCACCACAT